CCATATCAAAGTAGTAGGAGCAACCTCCAACATCGCTCACCTGAGCACATGGGCTAGGTAAAAACAAATCAGCTCAGCACTCAAAAGTTTACTTGGGGAAGGGGGGTGGACTTGAATTTTATACTTCTTGCCACCATATCAATATAAACTAGTGCTAATTGTAACAGGGACCGTTACAGATGTTCCCCAAACGCTCCCTAACTCCCTTTTGATGCCATATTTCCTCTAAGCTTCATTAAAGAAGACAAACGATTTATGCATTTGACACTTAAACAACGTTTCCCCAGAAGTGTACCTAGTTCATTCCAATTTTAGCATTGCATGCGTGCACATGTGAATGCATGTGCGTAATGACCATATCATCTTGTCTAAACAATCTAATTAATAATGTATTAATGTAAAAACTTTGGGCCAGGAAAGATGAAAGTTATGTAGAAGCATCCTCAGGTAGTGTACATTCAGGTTTATTCAAGTAATGACCCCCGGTGGTAGGGCGGGGCAACAATGGACGACCAACGTTTTAAATAGAAATAAATAGGAAAAATATTCTTCTTAATAACAGCAAAGCCATGATTGGTCATGTTTATATGGAAGCATCCTCAGGTAGTGTAGATTCAAGTTTGTTCAAATCATGACCCCCGGGGGTACAGCCACACTGGATGATCAAAGTTTTACATAGGAATATATAGGAAAAATATATAAAAATCTTGATTGGTTTTGTTCAAATGTTAGTATCCTCAGGTAGTTTAGATAAAGATTTGTTAAAATCATGACCCCCAGGATTGGGTGGGCAACAAAAGTACATAACTTATTTGCAATAACAGGCACGTAGCATCGTTTTTGAAAGTAGGGGGGCCAACCAGAAAATTTTTTTTTTACTTACCTGAAAAAATTGACAAGCAAAAAAAAAAAAAAAAAAAAAAAAAAAATTAAAAGTTGTCCAAACTCGAAAATCCTATTTCGAGGGCCAACTTACTATCACTTCCAATTTTTTCCCTACAATCCTTGATATCACTTTCCTATGGTTAAAGTGGGGGGGGGGGGCAAGCATCCTATCAATGAACATTTACTATAGTAAAGGTTATGTTGGGGAAAAAAGTGGGGGGGGGGGGGTGCAGGCCCCCCCTTGCCCCCCTGGTTGCTACGTCCCTGAATAAAGCCACAGTTAGTCAAAAAATAAGTAAGCACCCTTAATTAGTGTAGATTCAAGTTTGTTCAAATCACTTCCTCCCCCCCCCCCTTTTAGGATCGGGACTACTTACGCATTTACTGAATTGATTTTTCCTAACCACAGTGCTCAGGTGAGCGATGTGGCCCATGGGCCCTGCGTTACATGGATGAGTTCGATCTCAATTGTTTTGTTTTTGTTGCATAATATTTAGATTTTAAGATATGAACTAACCAGATACATGAAGATGACCATCTGACCATCGTTTGCATAATTTTTGAAATATGTTTGCACTACATCAATGCAAATCTCACCAAACAACAAACAAAAAATAAAGTTTCTAATTGTGTGACTAGCCATGTTTTAAATTCATTTGTATTTGATCTAGCTTTGGACATCTTGCAATATTTCTTTCAAATGGTGTAAACTTCAATTTTACGTAAATAACCGTAACTGACTGCGATGCTACTTTTCTTATTTTGATTTATTTTAATGTGCCGTGTCGCCCTCATGGAACAGTGGTTAGAGCGTCTTCCCTAGAGTCGCGAAGTAAGGAGCTGATCCTTTTGTCGCGGGTTCGAATCCCACTGTGGGACACAGTAGGTGCTACCTTTGAGCTACCGCAAACGTTTTTTTTTCGTTTGGAAAAAAAAAACTTTCCAATCTATGACAAGTATCAATAGAATAATTAAAACCTGATATTCCTATTCAATTGGAAATATCATGGGAAATGTTCCATAGTGACGTTATTCACAGAGGCGTAGTCACAAACTTAAAAGTGGGGGGGGGGGGGCTCAACTCCAGAAATTCTTTGACAAGCAAAAAAAAAAAAAAAAAAAAAAAAGGAAATTGACCCCAAACTCGAAAATCCTATTTCGTGGGGGGGGGGGGGGGGGGGGGGTTGGGGGGGGGGGGGGGGGGGTGGTAGTGGTCAACTTTTTCAAAGGCAAGTTACTTTCAATTCCTATTTTTTCCCACAATTCTTCGATATAACTATACTTTCCTATAGTAGTGTTGGGGAAAAATAGCTGTGATTTTGTTTTTCATTAAAAAGTGGGGGGCACAGACATACTCTTGCCCCCCCCCCCCCCCCCCCCCCCCCCCCCCCCATCTGAAAGTGGGGGGGGGGGGGCTATATGATTCATTTTATTTATCTATTTATTTTCATGAGGAATTAATTCATACAATGTAATACTTTCTCAGAAATCTGTGACAAGTGCCTAATCTTTCAATATTACGAATAACGACTACAGAGTATCCCATACTGACAATGTAACATTGTTTGCTATGTGCTAGAAATACATGTAGTTGTTATGGATTAAATGAGTTTAAAAATACTTTCGAAAAACAAACATTTCAACATCATTTATTTTTCTTCATGACATGATTTAGATAAAGATTTACAGGTAACATGAATAAAGGTCAAACTTTCTTTGTGTTGTTGCTAGGGGAGTGGTGTTGTTGCTATGGAAATAAGTCATCGAACAATATTCAATAACTTGATACAATATTTTAAAGTCTTTCCGAACTATCAACATGCAATTATCAGCATATTACTTAAATATCCAATTCCATGACAAACAATACAATCTCAAAGTCAAATCTGTTTTACAGGAGACATAGGAACTTTGGTTGTCATGTACACAGAACCCTTGACATTTGGGTTGATTAAGTACCAAAAAACAAGATATGTTTGTGAAACACTATGCGCCCGGCGGCAACAAAGTTCGGAAAAAGCTATTTTTAGCATTAAGATCACAGTCAAGGTCACAAGGTCATTGACCTTGGTGTCACCTGAAAGAACATAATTAGTGGAGTTTGCATACCAAATATGAAGTCTCTATCTTTCATAGTTCGAAAGTTATGGCGAAGGTTCAAGTTTGCAGAAAAAAGCTATTTTTAGCATATAGGCCACAGTCAAGGTCACAAGGTCATTGACCTTGGTGTCATTTGAAAGAGCTTAATTAGTGGAGTATGCGTACTAAATATGAAGTCTCTATCTTTCATGGTTCAAAAGTTATGGTGAAGGCTAAAGTTCGGGACAAACAAACAACAGACAGACAGCTAGACAGACGGACAGACAGACAGACAGGACAAAAACAATCTACGTCCTGGATCTATCGATCCGGGCGCATAAAAAATAACAATATTAAAACTAACATTTCATTGTCAATTTGCTCAACCGGATTTTTCTGACTTATTTTGAATAAGCCTTAATGAGATTACACGAATACACGCCAAAATTACCTTTCTTTGCCTTGTTGCTATGGAGAACCTGCTGTTGCTATGGAGATAAAGAATTATGCAATATTCAATTATGTGCTATTGAGTCTAAATTTAATTAAACTATTTTAAAATTGGAATCTCGTTTATCATCAATAACCGTTCATTTGATTTTCCCCTAAACTTTTTACATTGTTTCTCATTTTATGCATCAAAAAGCCCATTTTTATTGCTAGGCAACAGATTCGATTTGCAAAAGAGCCCATGGAATTGACTTCAAATTCTAAAAGAGAAATACCTCTGCTTTTATGTGAAATACATGCAACAACTGTACTAATCTGGCCATTTTTGAAATTTGGCCTTGAATATTGCCAAAATCACGAAAAATGCTGAATCAGCAAAACTTGTAAAACATGTGTACCTTCCAATGTCTACCACGGAACTGACTTAAGACCTAAATATTTTTTATTACATTATTAGAACACAATAAATGTGTATCTTTATTACACTCATAAGTAAGAATAATTCTCATGGTATTTACGTGTTATTTTAAGCCTCAAAGATAGGTGATTTTTTGTCCTTCAACACTGAAAAATCCGCCCGTTGCTAAGGAAATTTCTTTGGCCGGGTTTCCATGGTTACCAAGACTCAAAACATTTTTCATTTTACATACATTGTTCATACTTCAAAATAAATCTATGAGTGAAAAATCATCAAATTCTGAGAACCCTCATATATCACCCTTTGTCTGATTTTTATGTGGACTGGTACTTAATTGTTCTTATTATGTTTAAACTTCATTTATATTTCTCAACAGATAATTGACAATTAACGGTTATACAAAAAGAGTTTACAATACTAGGTACTCCCCGGCCTGAAAGTGTGTACGATATGAAAGAAAATCTTCATGATTTTCCGGATGATAATGACGTTGTAAAAATGCATGCTTAATAAAAATTGATAAGTTGTTCAACTAGTAAAAATTGTTTTGAATATGCTACAGCTGCGAATGATACCAGGATAATGTTTTCTGCATTTTACACCGCGCCTTGCAGCACAGCCTACTCTGCAGAAACCAGTGACATTATCACGTGACAAAGATCTAGCACATTAGCACGTGGTTCGTCTTGAGACGTCTCCACCTTTATATTGATGACAATTAATTCTTATCATTTATCATTGAATTTATTACATGATCATCGATGAATTCATTTGATTGACAAATGCACTAAATTTCTATATATTTCATTTTTTTTAATTATTTATTTTGCTTTGAAGGCAGTCGGAAATAAAAATGATCACTATTTCAGCTTTGAATATATTGTGCTTTCCTAGTATATATGCCTTTTAAATTGTGAAATTTCTTTTTGAAGATTAATGCAAATTTTGTTTGCGGCCGATTTGATGCTTTGCATCAAATTCACTGTAGATTTTCAGTAAGCATTTGACAATTATTAGTGTATGGGTGATCATTTAAAAAAAAAAAAATTAATATTTGTTATTGGAACACGCGTAAAATTCATATAAGTAGATCGATTTGCCCTTTGGTTTTGTGAAATGTCGCTGGAAATTTGTACCTCAAGCATGCATCAAAACATTAAATATGACTTCATAAATGTTTCTTAAGATACTTCGTGACATACATGATTCCAGAGCGTTTTTCTCCAATTACCAGAAATTTTTCATCCGCGACGCATACAGAAAATGGACATTCAATGCTATTTTTTAGTGACATTAATTGCAGGAATTCCCCTTCACTACTAATAACATGTATGTATGAGTTATTAGAATCTGCTATCAAAATATGTCCATATCGATCCGTAGCAATGCTAGTTGGAAGGAACTCTCGCTTTAGTTTTGAAAGTGACTTTCCATCGTATGTAAATCGCAATTCTCCACACGACTTGATTATCACAACAGCGGAAATACCGAGATCTGTAGTGCAGATATCATTGTTGACATTAACTGCGATGCAGTCAGGTGCAGTGAAAAGAAGACGGTTTTCTTTATCATACTGATATTCTGAAATCAGTTCACCAGTTTCTGTGTATTTAGCTACCTTAGAATCATCTTTTTTGTACAAACAAACAAAAAGTTCCCCAGCCGATGTACAAGCAAAACCTTGTGGGACCCACGCACCTGCAGAGATTATTGTTGAGAAACTTCTGTCGCAAAGAATTTCATCAATCGTGTTCTCCTTGGTGTTGTTGAACAGAAGATAACCTTTCGACGAGAGAGCCAAACAATTACCAAAAGAGGCTGTATCAACTCGATCAATTAGGACCCCATTAAAGTCAACAAGAACCAAACATGTTCTTTCTCCTACCCAAATTCTGTTGTAGGTGAAATGGACAATCGAATTCAAAGATTCAAAACCACCCTCTATTGACATCGACTTTAGGTTGGTTTTGTACAGAACAGAAGGATGTTTCAGAAGAATTTTCTTGTTAATCTTAACCTCCTCAACATTTTGTACTCTATATGCTGGATATTCCAGCAATCTTCTTCCAGAAATTTCCCCAAAGTAATCCTTCATTTTAAAATCTTCAAAAGTTTTCTCGTGGAACTTAGGTCTGCTGTACTCCTGCAATGCTGGTAAATTCGTAAAATTTTCAGAGGTTGGTTTGAATCCCACAAGTTTATCAATTTTATTTGAAACTTTTAGATCTTTGTTTTCTTTAAGAAGAATGTCAATGTCAGCAAGTTTTTCTTTAAAGAATTCCTCTTGTTTCTTTAACCCAATTATATCTTCAGATTCCATATCATGTAATTGTCTTTGAAGCTGAAGTGCAATATAATCAATTTCCTCTTTCCATTTTAAAAAAGATCTTGCACGAGTTTTATGAATATCTTCTCGTTGTTTTTCATAATATTTTGGTAGAGACATCAGCCGTGATTTCAAATAACTTCGATTCCGTTGATAGATAGATTTCAAGTTTTGAAGGTTTTCGTTTTCAATTTCAATCTTTAGGATTAATTCCTTCTTTGCTTCTACTAGTTCTACCATATCATGCGGCTTGTGTTTTGTGGAAGAACAAATTAAACAGAGAGGTTGGTCGCAAGTTTGACAAAACACCTGGCAGTCGAGTTCGGGATGTGTTTGACACCTACAATCATTGGTAGCATCACAGCCTTCCAGTATGTCCACTAAGATATGTCCAAATTTTGATTTACTTTTTAGGTGTTTCGAAATACAATTTTCACAAAGTTTCACGCAACAAGTCTTACAATTGTATGCACTTGGTTTATCACAATTGTTGCACAGAACAATGCTTTGTGCCGTAGATTCAACCGTTGCCATTTTAAATTTTACAGATATAATCAATGAACAATTTTCAGATCATGTTTTAAGTACCAAATATGTTGCTGAGAAGGAAAATGGAAAATAGTTCCTCTACTATGTGATGGAATGTATGTGTGAGATTACGTTTATCACAGGTCAGCTGTTTTTATGAGTTACGAGAGAGATAGAGTGAAATTTTAAACGTTTCCCTGCAATTTTATATTGTTTTCCGTTTTAAAGGAACCCTTCTGGCACAAAACATTAGTAATAATTAATATTGAAGAACACTCTAAAATTTTCCCCCGGAAATCGCATCAAAAATTTTATCGCATTATTAGTGTATAATAGTATCAATGTACATTGCAGCAAATAAAGCACTAGATACAAATTGTTTCTATAGTTTTTCATGAAATAAATTTGAAGAAACTTGAATACGCTATCGAGCTGGAAAAAATATACTTAAAAAATTTTTACACCATGACTTCAGGAAGTAAAAAAAAGTCAGATGGAGTACACAAAAACTGAGCAAGTGCTATGATAAAAGAGAGAATGAAATGAAATTATTTCTTTTCTGTTGATAAAATACGAGGGTAGTTCGAAAAGTTCGTAGACGATGTCTATCTTCGTCATATTACTCACATGAAATTTAAAATAAGCACAATATAATATGTAAAAATATTTGTGTTGTTGATGTTTAAAGTTTCATTCCTTTCGATTTAACAGAAATTAATTTACTTTATTTTAAAACCAACATGTTTTGTATCCGCGGAGCACAATAAACGGCAATGTAACGTCAAAATAGCGTCAATAATTTCTAAAGAATACTATCCCTATTAATTTCACGAAGTATTATCCAATGCCAACTCACTTAAAAACCTTTTTCTAATACTTGACATTTATTTTTTAACAATTGTTTTCGATGTATAATTTCCTTTGTTTAGATTTTAATATCTTTTATTACTTAACTTTGCTTTAACAGGATAAGCAACTCTGAAGCGCTTATATTTTCCCCTTATGTTTCAACTTAAAGTTTAAAGTTGCTATTCAGATTTTTACAATTAAACCGTTTGTTCACAGATTGTCCTCATCCGATACCGTCTTTTTGTTTTTTAATTTTTGCACAGCTGTCATGTGACAATTTTTTTATTCCGTCAATATTTTAAGAGTTTATTCAGGATTTTTATGAGTAAAACACAAAATAACATCGTTATCTGCTGCTCCGTGACGTTCTAAAGAGTCATTTTTTTTTCGTTTTTCATTGAGAACTACTTATCTTCTCAAGTTGATTTCTTTTCAACGAAGCAAAATATTCAGCCATAATTTGGAATACAAATCGATGTAATATTTCTTAATTTAGATTTCTATGTTGTTTTTCGTTTTTCCTATATTTTACATAGAATATGACTACAGACATTATTTAGTGTATTTTTTGTAACTTACCACATTTTGACCTGCTCCTCAACCCGATTTTCGCATTTTTTAACCCTGGATAAGTTTTGAATAAATTGTGATATTTAAAAAAAATTAATACAAACCATATGAATATATTGTTAAAATATTTCTGACTGAATTTTGGTAACAAATGACGTCAAATAAAAAAGATATGACAGAAGTTCACGAACCTTTTGAGCATCCATCGTAATTTAGGGAACTTAATACTGTAATTCAAATGACTGCATTTGTTTTATTAACTTTTATATCGATTTATGAAAAAAATAATCCTTCTAATATGGTTTTGATATAAAGAAAATCCTTATTCAAGGCATTGTTTTTTCAAACCAGTCATTACAGTACACATTATGAAGTAATTTTTTTTTCAGAAACATTTAGTCATATACTGCATTAGCCATTTTGAAGTCAGCACTCATCGTCTATCGTCTTTAATCAGTTTTAGGAACATCAAGTCGATATGCTTTCAGAGTCTATTAAAAGTAATATAAATCTATAACCTGTTGTATACTTTATCATTTGAGCAAGTTTCACTCAATCAGAGAGCTTAATATAATAAAAAAAATATATGATAATACTGAACAGAGCTCATACAAATTCTCCTCCATCGCTGTTTTAAGAGAAAAGAAAAGAAAAAAAGTTTGGTAGAACATTTGATTGAACTGACTGTATATCTTTGTTTGTAAGGGATTTTTATAAAGCTTTAGAATCCAGTCTAGCAATAGTAATTCAAATACATTGTGATTTTTGGAATATAAAACGAAATAAAAAAAACAATATGATTTTGTAGAAAGAATTTAACATGTTAAAGAAAAGACTTCCATTTCAACCGTATAGATGAATAAGTGAAGAAAACATGAAGAGAACTAAGAATGATCATGCTCAAAAGCCCTTTTAAATTAAGACAAATAATACAAATTGTTAGCAGCGCCACCACGGACTTTTAAAACAGAGGTGAGATAAAATGCCATCAAGTATTATGGGCACCGTGCCGTTTTCCCTCAAGAAACATAGGAGGTGGTTGGGAGAAGATGGGTGTAGGAGAGTAGGCAGGGGGCGGGGATGGGGGAGAGTAGGGCGGGGGTTGGGCTGGAGGAGCAGATGTTCCAAAGTTCATTGTTGATGTCGTCACGTAAGGTCCGTTTCTATATCCTATATAACCATGGTGATCTGAAAAAAATATTGAATGTTTTTTTTACTTCATCATGTACACTAATGTGATTTCATATTAACAAGCATATACTGAGGAATCATTTTGGTTCTTTAGGACCAATGTTCATAGGCAAGCAAACTTGTATACACAGTATATTTAATATATAAGTATATTGAAAAAATGTATAGTAAAAGACAATTAGTTTAAATGTATATGTATTAATTATACGCCCGTCTTAAGACGGGACGTATTATGTTATAGGCTTCGTGTCCGTCCGTCTGTCCGTCTGTCCGTCTGTTAGCTTTTTCGTTTCCGGCTCATAACTTTAATACTACTAGGCCTAGGATTATCAAACTTTGTCATCTGATGCATCTTGGGTAGAAGGTGTGTCGCGCACAAAAAGTAGGTCGCTCTGACTATTAATTAAGAAGTTATAGCAAAATATGGAAAAATCCTTTCCGGCCCATAACTAGAAAACTACGAGGGCCGTTCAAAAATTATGCGGACTTGTTGCACAGAAAAAATATTTGACGACATAATCGGGCAAAATTTCACACATGATATAAAAGAATCTTTACTTATATGGTCTTCAAAATTTCATATCAAAATGTTGTAAATTGGTATCAATTTTGAGTGATTTTTCAGGACATATCATTAAATCACGGCGCAGCAAAATCTTCGACGTCACAAGCATTCAAAAAAATATTTGATTGAGCTTTCATTTTCTCAACATTTTCCCAAGAGTACCTGTATATTTTGAGTTACCTTATCTACTCAACATCCAAACACCATTTCTTGTCAAACAAGTAAAGAATATTCTTTTTTTGTTTTAAAACAAAAAACTGCAGGTATTTATAAGATGTAGTGTGATATTGGTGACTCTCAATCACGTTCTTTACAGTCCGGATAAAGTTTTCGTCGATAATCTTCTTCCCGTCCTCCCATATAGCCTTTTTACAGAGGTCTAACGGTCTAAAATTTCAATTTGCTATTTGTGGACGAATGTCACGAATAGCCTAGTTTACTACATGTTTTATTATGCATATTTTGGATCTATGTTGCCGATATCTCGAGCATTACACATAGTTTAACAAAAGTGTGGTGCGCCGTCAATTCAGGAGACGTCATTTTCACAGTCGTTTTCACGGGAATCGCATCAGAGAAAAATCACTATATTTCTGTTAGTACTTCAAATATTACGTTAGAAATCTAAATACACAATAATAGAACAATTTAAAGGCACAGTTGAGAAAATTGTTGAAAAATATCGCGAATTTTAGAAAATCAATGAGTTAATTTTTTGATTCCGCATGCTTTTGCTTAATTTTTTTTTGTCGTGCGCCGTACCTCTCCATCAGCAATATCAACATATCGATAATTTTAGTAGAATTTTTTTAAAATACAAAATTTTTTCCCAAAATTTATTGGAATCTTTAAGATACATATTTCTGTGAAATTTCATAACTATATGACGTATGTAAGAGTAAATAATAGCACAGTCCGCGTAATTTTTGAACGGCCCTCGTATAAGACTTACAATCATCAAACTTGGCCAGTTTATGCATCTTAGGTAGAAGGTGTGTCGCGACCTATTTCAAGGTCACTGTGACCTTTAATTTAAGTGAAATTAAAAAAAAGTGTCTTTTTAATATTCATTTACACATCCCAAATAATGTAAGAGTATTGCACTGTCCCTATTAAAAAAGTGTTAAATCAAGAAAATACTTCTTTTTTTAAGCATATACTTGACAGCAATCTATAACAAATATAATGTATGTTAGAGAAATTCTACCTCTCCCATGAGTGTAATTATCAAGCACTGGTCAAGAAGAATTTTGATAACAGAAAATTGCATGTCAAATTAGAGAGAAATTAATGGGTTTTGAGTGTGAGGAGCTAACTGAAAGGGCATTGGTGTTATCTGTATCCCTTGAGTATTGGGCAGCCTGTTTGATTAAAAATAGCTCTTGTTGGCTAGCTTAAGTTTTAAAATGAATATGATGAAAAGTAATTAAAACTAATTTGATTTTGCATAATAGACTAATCTGATATTATGTAGTATTATTAATTTAAAAACTAATTTTATGGGGTGGGGTGGAATCAGCATGTCCATATAAATTATATATTAAAACCTGTCGGACATTAAATCTCAACCAAAACAATCGTTGAATATTTTATATGTTTAAAAAAAAAATTTATGGTAGATAGTGCAGACCCATTCATCTCTTGGTAGTAATGAGTAGACAAGCATCCAGTTAAAGATTAATTAATGAGTTCAATGTAGGAAGGCTAGCTGATCAAGCGGCTTATCTGTATCCTTTGGGGATTAGACAGAAGAAGTGCTGGTCAGTTTATAGCATATGTCATTTTACGGCCAGGCCTTTTCTTTTCAAAATTAATTTGGTATAGATTAAGATGTTAAGACTAATTTGATATTGTTTAATATGATGGGCATTTGACAAGGTCTAACACAACCAGCATAGAAATCTATAAATGATGTAATATTTATTATAATTAATGCCTAGATCACAGGAAATAGATAAATATTTGAAGGAATGGAAAAATCATGGAAATCTTGGAATCAAGGTTGACGTGATTAAACTGTTCAAGAAAATCGTATTTTTTTTGACGGGCGTATCATGCTGTGGCGCGGCACTTTATTAACAATTTTAATACAGGTACTAAGCCTAAATCTACAAATGTATGCTCTTACATGTATTCCTGTAGCTTGCAGAATATCCCGTAGGATGTACGACTACTTGATCATGGTTTTTCATTTTACAGCCATGTATAACACAACAGATCGTAATGGTGAGGACGATTGCTGTTCCACTTATAACAGCGCCTGCAATGGGTCCCGCTGCTAGAAAATAAAGTAAATTGCGTCAATTTATTTGTAAGTACTTTTACGAGTATGCTGGACACTTTTCATATGCCTTAACTCATTAATTTTGCCTGTCGAAATAAAATAGTTCCAATTTTTTCACAAAAGTCAGGATATTTAACATTATGATAATATAATTAATTGTATATTGTTTTAGGTTCAGTATTTGAGGTTTTTCACTCAAATGGGGACGCCATAATGTGCCTGTGAAGGGGTTCAAGATGAGACATTTACACAATTCCATCCAGCAGTATGTAGCTTTATCATGTCATTGTTTACCGTGTCACGAGGTTTTAAAGTTTCTTCCGAAGGACGCAAAACTTTCACTTTAAACTTACGAGCATTTGACGGAGAACAGTTACAACCATTTTTTATTCACTTACTTCAGTCGCGGACCTGTTCCAAATCCAAATCCTTTCAAGAGGAGAGAGCGCTCCAACGACCCAAATATTAAGATTAGATTGATCGTTACGTCCCTTTCAAGAAGTTTTCTTTTATATGCGACGTCACCATATAACTGGTAAATGGTTTCAAATTTGTAATCTGGCACTGTCTTTCTGTTATCATTTAGGCCTAAAAACCCTCTGATTTCAACTCTTTTATTTTTTCATAGTAAATACGAATACAATTTTATTTTATTTAAAGAAAATTTACAAGAAAATGATGTACATATACCTGCCTCCATTTAATTAGAAGGATTAATAGAAACTGTTATAGTAGCCATAAGAACTGTATGTACTTCGATGGAATGGTTAGGATAAATACTGGAAATAAAAAAAAATGTACCATCAAATACTCAGTATTTATAACTGCTATAATTTCGCCCTAATTTCTTCCGAAACTCGATTGATGTGAATCAGCTGATAAACTTACAAACTAGTTGATAGCACATAATGTAGCATATTTGTTTCATATTTTGATATTTTATTAGCAAAACACAATGGTAATTGACCAACAAATTGAAGCATTATAAAAAACGTGACAACTTTTATTTTTCAAGCATCAGCTTCTCCTACAATGTACCCTTATCATTTGCATATGAGATTTACTTTTTCAATTGATTCGATGTGCAAAAGCATGCTCTTTTTATTTCAAAAAACGAGGTATGTAATTGACAAATCAAGTGATGATACAAGATAAACAACCGTCCTTTTTAAAGTAATCATTTTGCAAGTTCGAAACAATGACCTTGTCAGCAAATGCAGTTTATCATCTAGTCAAATTTTGACTGATGTTTTTTTAAATACGTATTATTAGGCCATTATTTGCATAGTGAATTGTCGAGACATTTTCACGTTATATCCCGATCATAACAATTGGGCACAAGGCAGGTGTGATCGGTCAGCAGGAGATGCTCACTCCTTCATAGCAGCTGATCCCAACTCTGAAGGTTTTAAAGTTTGCTCTGCTCCTGATTTGTACTGTTTGAATAGATTTAATATTGAACTTGAATAATATTGTTCATTTTCCAATACATCGTATTAGTTTGGCTTTCACACAGGCGTGTGGTATCAAATAAAAAAGTTTCGTGTAAAATTCCAACAATGTAAGATTCAGATTGATACTGTGATATTTTGAACAAGCTGACACACAAATAAAAAAAGAGAGAAAAATTCAAACAACAAAGTCTTTTCTTATGACATATAAAAGGACTTATTGATCCTCATAAAACAATATCAATTTACTAATAGAATAGATAAATATTAGTACACAAATAAAAGAGATAAATGATGTTGAACATGTATGAATAATTCTATTTTATAAACTAAAATTCTTTATTAAAGGGTTCTTAATTACTGGCAAATCGGCATTAAAATATCGATTCAAGTTTAATATGGATTCTCTTTTAAAATAATAGAGGCCGTATTTAAAACTCTTTTCAATGAAGAAGAAACTTTTTACGACTAAGTTATATAAATATGAATGTTTCTTTTACATATTTATTAAAAGTATTATATAATAACACGTAATATTTTAGTATATACTTACAAACGCATGTAAGAAGAAGCACCGATTTTGGAAAGCACATAATAGAGAAGCCATGTTTTTTGTCGATATATTTATTTGAATTCCCTTTAAAGTCCCCTTCGAGTTTTATTCTCCTGGTCTGTACAATTATGTTACAAAGACACGGCAGTTTAACCATGAAGCGTTTTCAAAAGAATAAAAATAGCAGGTATTGGCATAGATCTGAATTGCAGACTTGATTGCTACTCAAATAGAGTTTTTTTTTCCCAATCCTTTCTACGTGTACGTTTTAAAACTAATCCATTGTTAATTATTTGATGCTTAAGCTAGCAATGCACGCAAAATGTATTACATGATACATTTTTTGACAAAAAGAAATGGTGCTTGACAAAAAATAAACGCGAGACTGGGAGCCATTTGAGAGAAACTTAGTGTAATGAAATAAATGTTTTTAATGCAATGTGTGATGTGATAACGAACAGTATTTAAGCTCAAAAGTCCATAAAACAATGCATAATAGGAGCAGAGCAAACACGGACCTCCAAAACCCCAGAAATGGGATCAGGTGCCATGGAGGTGTAAGCATTCTCTGCCAACTGGTCACACCCGCCGTGTGTTTCCTGTCATCATAGGGAGTAAACGGAAAAATCCGTCGACAACTCAGTGTGTCGACCATATGACTTATGAAATGATCACTTTAAAGATGACTACTGATATTCTTGTTTCATCAACTTGTTTGTCAGTAATTTACATCGTTTTATATATTGCTCACACATAGAACATGCGCTTGCGTATCGAATCAATTGAGAGATATAAACCCGGTATGAAAGGTAATAAAAGTATATTGCCACATGAGTAAGGGGCGTCGCAATTGAAAAGTTAAAGTCAACACGTTTAACATAGATCTTGGTTGTTAGATTACCATTTACGTCTTTTTTTTTCAAGTAAAATACCTAATTATAAAGCAAATGTGTCCAACTCTGTGGTATTTTTTATTTCAAACCCGACTGGACATATCGTATCGATATAAAATACTTTATAAACCGATTGATATTTTTACGAAATTTAAATAGGTCCTAGAAATGAGAAAATTTTCTTTTCTTTTTTTAAATTTTGTAATCAATATTATTTACTTTTAAGCATACATGTTTGAAAATCTATCCGTTTCAATTTAGCTATTTGCTTATTGAATTCAGATCTTGAAGAAATTAAAACTGAGATTGAATACTGTTCGTTATCTCCATATCCTTCATACATCATAATTTTTCTTTCGTGATAATTAAATTAATTGCTGCATTATTAGCGATGGTGCTGAGATAGCTAAAATTTAATTTCGCTAACAATATTCACATTATTTGTTTTTATCGCAACGATTGGATGATTTACATAAAATGTTCATGTCGCCCGCGTGGCGCAGTGGTTAGAGCGTCTGCTCTAGAGTCGCGAAGTAAGGAGTCAATCCTTACGTCGCGGGTTCGAATCCAACTGTGGGACGTGGAGACCGGTCCTTCGGATGAGACCGTATAAACCGAGGCCCCGTGTTGCAGTAGGTGCTGGCACGAAAAAGATCCCTCACTGCTCAAAGGCCCTGAGTGCCGAGCATAGGACAAAATTTGTAGCCCTCCACCGGCAAGTGGTGGCGTCTCCGTATGAGTGAAAAATTCTCGAGAGGGACGTTAAACAACATACAATCAATCAATCATAAAATGTTCATCAGGCGTACTTCCGGTAAAAATTTCTTACGATAGTTACCCAATGTCATCTGAAACAAAATCCTTTTTTTGTGTTTCGGAGGGATGCAATTCTGATGAAAGAAAAAAAAGAAGATATGGTTACATGAAAGATGTTTTGCCCCTTTCCAACCCAGGAAACGCTGACTGGACCTCTTAAAAAGAGAAAGTTTGATCTAAAGAGAAACCACAGAGTATGCTCCTTTTATTTTAAGGAAGGCAGGCCAACAGTAAATCTTCCATACTTAGAGCTCTTTGCATATAATAATTTCAAGAAAGTCTGAAGGTTGTTGTGGTTTTGATTGTTAAAACATCCAAAGGTTGGTGTCATGATTCATCATTTTCATGGAATCCATGTATCGAGTGTCTTGTGTTAACATCAAGATATATAGTCAAAAAACTGCATCAAAATAAATGGAAAATGCTAATTATTTATGATATATTGATGGATTAAACACAAAATTTAGAACTATTTGAGCTTTTTACATTGTAATAAAGCGTTGAGCATTACAGTTTAGATACACACATGCTAGTCTTGATCGCTTATAATTTGTTGTATCTAGATTCGTTCAACAACTTCAATATTCAAGATATTTGTTATGTTATTGGACTTCTTGAGGCGTTTCATAAATGCTGTCATCAGCAGATGATGGTGTGATGAAATGCCTGTTCCTTTCATCACCCTGACACCGTTCCATGCTCTTCGAAATTTCTTGCTGATAAAAATATGATATGGCTTGCGATATAAAATGGTACTAATAGGTGTTTCCCTACGAGCAAAATCAAGAACACCATTATTGAAAGTCTTTAAGAGAGAATATAAAACGCAAACACTTTTTTTCACTTAGAAGGTTTAATGAAACATTATGAAACAAAAACGGTAAATAAAAAACACAAATATAAAAATTTTGCAATATGTTGTAGCCTAGAAAATTATAAGCAAGTTAGTCTCTGTCATCTTCAGAATTTACATCAGATGTCGGAATGCTTTTTTTCTCATAAAAAGTGCATTTTCCTTGATAAGGAGAGAACTTTATTTTTATTTCAACAATTTCAGATGTTTTTTTTCCCCTGCATTTCCTAACATACAGTACATACATATATAAATTCAATCATAATGAATTATATATTTTTTCTAACAAAGACATACTATTACGAAATCAATTTAAATTATATTAAGTAATAATAAAAGTAATAGAAGTTATTCATTCTTCCTTAAATTCAAGTTATATAATTCATTTCGGGAAAAATATTATCAAAAATCAAGAACATCTTGTCATGTTTTCAAAGTTACTCAGATTTGTATAATAATTTACCTTTCTCATTTCATGCGTATGGTAAAAAAACATGGAAGTTTTTAATAGATAAATTCGTATGATTAAAATTGTGATTTTTCATGAATCAATTGAGTTAAATTCAATCTCTAATAGGAACAAATTCAGTGAAATTGAATACATAACAGATATGTAGGCATCAAATACTCGGTCTATTTAGGCATACTTCCCATTTATTACTATTCGTATATATAATGGGGTGTGCCCTAATTTATGACCTTGAATTTTGGTTTTTTAATTATTGAAAAAAAAAAAATCAATTAAAAAAAATTACCGGTAAAAAATTGTTTTCAATTGTCACTCTATTTTTAATGTTTCAATGAATCTTTCCACCACAGGATTTATTGATATTCAAATTATTTGAATTTTTATGTAGAAAAAAAAAAAGCTTTCTCCCATAGACCTCAATGCAATCTTTGTTAATTAACCACTGCTCAATCAAAATTTTTTAAAAAACTTTCTCGCGGGCGATCCTTTTCCACTATAAAATGCTTTAATATAATATCAGAGTACTATGTACTTGATGGACATTTAAGGCTGGTCCTATTAGGGATGGAAATCCTTAAGATTAATTGAAAGTCAAACACAAATATTCAAAATGATAGACTGGTAGAGTATATTTCAGGAACAGAGATTTATGTAATAAATATTATATTGATGAAGTTTGTCGTCATCCTTCAGTCAGCTCCGGTATATGATTACATTTTGGAATTGCTATCATGGGTGAATGTAGGTTGTTCATTGGAATGGAATGCAGGAGGAGGCTGATACTGAGGGGGTGGGGGAGGGTAGGCAGGGGGCGGGGGTGGCGGAGCAGATGGATGTGATGCATAGTTGATTGTCGATGTAGTCACATAAGGTCTGGTTCCATATCCACCATAAGCGTTGTGATCTGTAGAAAAATTGGAATTTAGCATTAAGTTTTCCAATAAGTTTCAAGCCAAAGCATTAATAATCTGTTTCATTTAAAGAAATTTAAGAAGTGAATTTAATAGCTACCCAAGTAATTTATATATACATGTAATACTCAGTCTGATAAAACCTGGGTTGGGGCAGTTTACACCTTATAAATCGCAAAGCGGTTTATAAACAAGAGCCAACAGAACATACCAACCCATGTTTATCCAGGATAACTTTGGAAGGAATCAAATTTATTCCTTATAATATGATTTTTTATCATTACATGTAGAAAATGATACGATATCCTTCAATAATACCTTCAACTGGTAAATGTAATTGTGACGTAGGCAACCGAGGTTTTACGAAATGATTTTTTATCCTATCACGTGTTACAACCAAAAATGTTTATAATCATTTAGAAGAAGTACTGAGGTGAAGCATTAATGGGGAGGGAATTAGCAGTAGCGTAAAAGTTTTATTATGTTTATAAGTGATCAACAAGAAACAGTATAAAATGAAGATATAAATTTAATATGTTGACTTAAAACACATACTTCGGATTTCATTTTTTAAAAATCTCGATTAAGTGTGTTTGTTCGTTGTTTAACGACGTCCCTCTCGAGAATTTTTCACTTATATGGAGACGCCGCCAACTACTAATGGAGAGTTGCAAAGTTTGTCCTATACCCGGCACTCAGAGCCATTAAGCTATGAGGGATCTCTTTTGTGCCAGCAGCTACTGCGACACGGGACATCGGTTTATACGGTCTCATCCGAAGGACCGGTCTCCACGTCCCACAGTTGGATTCGAACCCGCAACGTAAGGATCAACTCCTTACTTCGCGACTTCCGAGCAGAAGATCTTACCACTGTGCCACGCGGGCGACTCTCATGATATTGAAAGAAATATGCGGAAATAAACTACACAACAGCGAATTTAGAGCCCCAAGTAGTATTCAAAACATAAAAATGTGACGAATTCTGCATTTTGAAATTGTTTAAAAAGATAAAAATGAGTTTTTACTATATCAAAGTAATAAATCATTTAAGTCAACCCAACTACTAACGCATATATTTACTCACATGTATTGGAGTAACTTGTAGAATAACCTGTTGGACGTACGATCACCCGACCGTGTCTTTTCTTTTTACAGTACTTATTGGTAACGCAGACAATGATTGTGATTATTATTACCAGTCCAACGATTCCTCCTATTATACATCCCGCAATCACACCAGCACTACCAGAAAAAAACGAGAGATTTTGTATGTTGCTCTCAACTTAATTAAATTTATGCTATGAAGTTTAAATTGTATATAATTACGTAAAAGAAGCTATAATATTTAATGTTACATTTATCAGTAAATGTACGAGGGCTGTTCGGAAATTATTGAGACAATTACATTTACTCCATAAAAGACGGAGATAATTTCATGAAAATTCATCAACATTTTATGAAAGACGAGTGAAACACTTATGCAAAATTTCTAATTCCTGTGATAATTAGATAAATTTTGGTGAAATAATAAACTTGCATATGTCTATCGACCCGGAGCAGTATCGCTACGTCATAAAACGTCAGGTCTGCCGGAGATGGTTTAGCATGTGAAACGATCGGGAAGCGTTTAACTACTCTTCCTTCTTTGTTATTATTTGTAACATTATGAAAATCAAAGTCTCTTTTCTTAAAGTATTCTTTAAAAATTCATGCTGTTGCTTCCCCAGTGTAAATTTTTTGTTTTGGGGAAAGGAAGACTTAGAATCATGCGGTGCCGATTTATGCAACGCGGATCAACGATATTAATACCGTACTTAAAAACTCATGGTTGTCCAGAGCTTTTAATTTTACTCTGGTTGAAATAATTTTAAAAATATATACATATACTAATGAAATAACAATCCGTAACACATTATTTTTTTCTCATTGTTATTGTTTTAACGGGTCGTAGTCTGGAAAGAGTTCTACACTGCGCTACACAAAATTTTAAGTATGCTGTCTGCTCCGCCATTGGCGTCAAAATTCATTTTGTCGTTATTAGCAGATGTTTCTACCGCGCTTAATTTTTTTATGATATCCGTATTTTTGATCAAAATTCTATCAAAGTTGCACAAGATGAATTTGAAATAAGGCTGAAAAATATATACACATCAACTGAATTGCTTTTCGCTCTTATTGTGGGTAAACGAAGAGTTAGAACGTTGGTGTTACATATTTTCAATGTCTGATTTCGTGACTGCTCTGGGTACCCCTACTTTTGACGCATTCATATACCATTGTAGAGAAAATATCCAATATTTGTAAATTATTTCATGCTTTTATTAATTCTTAGTGTATGTCAAACATATATGCAAATTTTCAACGAATGACGTTCATTAGAAAGCAAAATATACACTATGTCTCAATAATTTTCGAACAGCCCTCGTATATCAAACAACTTTATCCTAAAAATTCATAAAATTAATGTTGAACATCTTTTATATCATGAACCATAGACGTCACAAGTATGTGGATGAAAATTGCGAATCAAATTGATATAAAGATGAAAGGCAGGAACAGCTTTTTGATTTTGATGTGTAATTCATTCGATATTATGAATTTATATTTATATATATTTATCATTTTTTATCGGTTTGATATTTATTTTTATCGATTCTCTCTGTTCTTAATGTATAGATAAGAAAAAAGACTAAACAAAGGTAAATTTGTCGTCTTCCCCAACGTAAGCAACGGCCATCGCCGTTATTAAAATGTTGATAATTACGAGTCAAATGTATTATCTTTATAATATCTGAACCGGGAACAGTCGTCCGCATTCTCGAAAACCATTAAATTTGGATCAAAATTTGGGGGTAGTAGTTAAAGCTTTATACCTATAACCTTTCATACCAAATTAACAGAGATCCGAGTTTTCTAGTGAGGGGGGTTCCAAGATAACTTTTTATTACTTGGTTTGATATATATATATATATATATATATATATATATATATATATATATATATATATATATATATATATATATATATATATATATATATATATATATATATATATATATATATATATATATATATATACTCCGACCCCCTCCCAACCTTTCTAGTTCTGTACATGCACCATTATTAATCGGAAACTTTGCCAAGTGATCTATTAATAAAATTATACGCTTACCTGGAATCAAGGGTGTAGTCGTAGTCATAGTAATAATAGTAACAGTAATATCGGAGCGAGTAACTGCTGTATGTGCAGTAAGACTCTGCACTGATTAGGCAAGGAACTAAAAATGAAATGTACATTTATTATTACATTCTGGAAGATTTTTAGAAGGGTTTATTTTTCAATTAAAAAAAATTATAGTGGAAATATTGGTTGAAAGTTAAAACGACTATAATGTTTGTTATCAAATGCAATCTATAGTTAGGTCGAATGACGTTTTTCATACGAACTGTAGAGCTAATACTTTCGAATTCACAATGCATTTTCTTTGTTTTTTTCCCGTTTGTCCGATCATGAAGGTGTACACTGCTGTTATGACCGCTCAACAATGTAATTAAAATCAAACTTCTAAGATCCGCGCCGCATTCACTCTGCGTAAGTGAATTACGGCGCGGATCTAAGAAGTCTGATTTTAATTAGATTGGACCGCTCAACATTGATTACTCATGCATGCCGCCTGATCCCATTTATGATATTATGTGATCTGCGTTTGTTCTGCCTCCAATCTGTAGATTTTATCGGCTGATTTATCATAATTATTCATAATCTTTATCTTTAATTACAGTTGTTTATGTATCGCTGTTTGGACAGTAATAGGATCATTTTCTTTTTTCAAATCCAACTTCCAAATATAAACATAGATTGGTATTTAACGACAGTTTTGATGATTTACAAATGTACAAACGGGTCATAACTTACTTGCTTTAATAGTAGAGTTAAAAGAGAGTTTAACTTCAATGGTCTCAATTTCCGGCCAAAGCTAGAGAGCTATTAACAACAGATCTGTAATCGTATTGCTTTAGGGGTAGATAGAGAGTGTATTTGTATAGAGAGGGGGTAGAATTTTTCGATATTTGGCTAATTTAGCGATCGCGACTTATTGATAAAATTCAGGTGCCTATGCTACCAATGACAACAAATACGTATGGACGAAAGCTGAAATCTAGAACTTTACTGAAATAAATAATAATTGACTTGCATTATTTACAGTACTCGTTTTGATTTATATACTTGTCTTTATTGTTTAAAATATAAACTCGAAAAGTTTAAAGCTTAATTCTGAATTTTAGATGAAATGTTCAAACGTTGCTTTGTGTTTTGAGTCTTGGGTATTTAGGAAAGATAACTCTTGCAAGTGGACTTTTAATTCCAAATATTTTTTAAATTGGAATTTTCATTTCGTTAGAACATTCTTCGTTCAATTTAACATATGTTATTCATTGAAATACATTCCTTGTCTCTTGAGAACTCATTATTCAAATTATTCCTGAACAGATAAAGAAAAAGAATGATATTGTTTATTTTTTGGAGAAAAATTTTTTTTCCCTAATAAATATGATATTAAATATTCTTAAGGAATCACTGTCTAGTTTTGAGAGTATGCCAGGGCATCAACAATAGTGGGAAACATGGGATAATTTGCATAACGGGCGAAGCCCGTTATGCTAAAATTATCCCATGTTTCCCACTATTGTTGATGTCCCTGGCATACTCTCAAAAATAGACAGTGATTCCTTATATTTCCATTTCATTGTGAAATAAAATTGTAGATATAGACTTTAAAAATTAATGTAGACTAATCGATTTAAATTACACAAGGACTTCCATGCCAATTTCAATAGTCCTCGCACACTGACGTCAAACACAAAGGCAGCAACACGAGATTTACATGCATATTTGGCTTCCTTAGCGTCAGACACAGAGACAGATGCGCACGAGATTTGCATGCGTATTAGGCCTCCTTAGCTGCTGACCTATCCACCTGCCTAATTTACATTCCGGCAGAATTATCAGGAAATCAACTCCGCTTACTTTCAAAGGATTATTATAGAGAACAAATTTAGAAATGGAAATATTTAGGTATAATCATTTTGTGTACATTTCTAAAGAAGATGTCCATCACCTGAAACTGAAATTTCTGTAATTCTAATAATAATAAACTTGAAATAAAATATATTACTAAAATTAGAGAAAAGTTAAAAAATTCACTTAAAATATCTATGACACCATTAATATTTCCTCCATTTGGATATTTGATATCTACATTATAAGTGGTGCTGTAATGAAATCTAGAATAAACTGTGGGTGTAATGAGCCTCCTTAAAATTGTTCATAAAAAATTATATATTTTTTAAAATTGTTTGGAATCAGATCATATTTTGGAGTTAGGTTATTGAGAAATCTTAAATGTACCAAAAATAAATCAGAAGTAGTTTTTTTTTTTTAAAAATGTGAATTCACGGTTTCGCCATCTCAAGTTCTAACGTGTTGAATATCGATGTCGGCCTTTAAATGTTAATAATTGAACAAGAACAATGCCAGTACATATAAATGATATTCATCGGTGCGTATATTCGGGATATTAATATGTTAACTTCTTTTCCTCTTTGTGGATATCAAAAATACGCAATTTAACAGTGTAGTTGGAATTAATATAATGTAATTGACAAACTAACATCTGACATTAAACAAATCAATTTAATATTTACAAAGATTATCTACAGCAATAGAAGTGAAGAGATTTATTTTATCATTATTAACTAAGATTATTTGCCTCAAAATATTTAATGGATATATATAATAATAGGAAATAGTGTTCAACTCACAAAGACAAACAACGAAAGAACACAAGGTAATCAAAAAGGAATCCATGCTTTTGAATATGATCCACTCGAAAGAACCACCAAAGATATTCCTGAGTCTTATTGTCGTGACTTATTCTATTATTTGAAGACACGGTAATTTAAACGCAAGTCCATTTCAAAATTTAAGAATTTTTTGGCACTGATACATATTGATTATTTGACAGGCAGAATGCGTGCAGACTGAACTTATTTTAAAGTTAGCATTGCCTATTTTTTCTTATCACAAAGAAGGTTTGGTGTATCACCTTACCATGAATAATTAAAACTGGTCTCTTTAAGGCCTGTTCATATCATATATACACATAAAAAGATAGAATGCAAAACTTTTATCTTTTTTATCACAATACTAATGCTTCATAAGTTTTTTTTTTAAATTAAATAAACGGAAAGGTTGCTTCATGTATGTCATATAAATTTGTTGCATTTAAATAAAAAAAAGGCTTTTATTTTCTCACTTCGTGCTTTTGTACGACTTTAGTTAGTGTATTTATTAAGGGGGGCTATATTGAAATAGTAATTCTTAAGTATTCTACCTTTACAATAACAAGAACTATTGTTTTAAAAATTAAGTAATACATATTTCAATTTATCAATAATGCTAACTATCTTTTTATTGCATAATTACATAGGAACATAATTGTACCAGTTGAAATTCTTTAGTTTAGAGCAAAGTTTTAGAAATTAATTTTCCTTTGATTTTTAAATAACTTATTAAGTTATTATTGACCCTTTGACCTTGGAGTTTGACCTACTTTTTACAAACTTTAACCTTGGTCATAACATTGGAAAAGTAGGGGCTAGAGCTTTCATATTTCATATTAAATCCTTGTGACAAGACCTTTCATTGGTCATAACCCTTGAACATGTGGTGCTAGGGTTTTATATTTCACATTTGTATTTCTTGTGAAAAGGGCTTACTTTATTTTTTTTTTATCATTTCCGGAATATTTTCAGGTTTACTCTTCGTGATCAGAAATTTAATGTTAACCAAGCAAGTGAAAATGGATATTTAATAAAAACCAACTTTCAAAATTTTTAAAAAAAAATATATATAATACATTGTATATATCCTTGACACATATTAAACATTTTAAACTTAAGAGAAAAAAAGAGTCCAATACTTACACGTACCTCAGGGATTTAAAAAAAATATTTTTGCTACATTGATAAGCAAGCAAAACCCATTTATGGATCTCACTGATTTATTCATCATATATTCATTTAATTTGTTCATCATGGTATTTAGTTTTTGTAGTATTTCCATATTCTTTAGGTAATTCTAACGGAGCTAGAATCAAGACAAGATGATTAAACTCTCTACCAAATTTTATTCATCTCCGCTAGCCAAGGGTTTCTGATACGCTACTATCCTCATAAATGAGGAGAAAAGCGTATCAAAAACCCTTGGCTAGCGAAGATGAATTTTCTTAAGTTACATATAGTCATCAAAAGCAACAGTGATCGTATAGTTTTTAAATAAAGTTCGAAGAATAAAAATTAAAGTCTTTTTTAAAGTTAACAGTTCGGATTTGCCAAAACTTATCCCAAGAGTCCAGTCCAGTTCAGGGGAGGAATTATAGGGTCCAGTGACTCTCGTATTATCTCAGTAGCCGTCTCTCGGGGCTCTCCCGGTTCCTCCTTTTTATACCGGAGAAGTTTGTTCACTATTCCGGCCCTTTGTCCGAAGAAAGCCAAAAATAGATTTGTATATTTGCCATTTCCCTTTTGCAGCAGATGGAGAGTCAATTTTCATGTCCACTCCAATGTTTGTACTGAATACTTTGGGGTTGTCTCTTACTAGTTAAGGTCTTCCGTCTTCAGCGGAAGACCTTATTGTTTTTCTTAGGTTTCTTTTCCACTATTTTTATTATTGTTTTTTTTTTCTTACCGATTTTGTACGCACGATTTCTCGAGAACGGCTCAATCGATTTTCATGAAACTTTCAGGTCTTATAGAACATCAAAAAATCTAGATATATATATTTTTTTATTTTGATCACGTCACTTCCGGTTCGGAGTTTTCTGCGATTTAGTGATTTTCAGAGGGTCACTTTGTCCGGCAGTTTTCTCAAAAAGCACTTAACACAGAAGCTTGAAATTTTCAGTGATGCTAGAGCAACTTTTGGAGAAGTGCACTAAGTGTATCACAACTACCGGAAGTACGAAGCGCCGACGCTCACTATGGCCCGAAAATAGTCCTGTCAAGAATTTCAAAATTTTAAGCACCTTTTCAACGATAACTTTTTACCTAGAAATATTTTGATAAAACATGTAGATCAAAAAAGGTGTAGAATTTCAAGATCTTTCAAATGAAATCTCGAAAAAAGGGCTGGCCCCTTAAATCAGGGGCCTGGAGGGGCTTCAAGTTTTTCCTTTATATCTCAAAAAATATTGAGAATTTGTGATACGTCAAAAAAGCAAAGTTGTTCAAAATGTCAAACTTAATCTATTGAAGTCGTCAAAATACGTCCGGCGTCGTCACTTCCGGCCAAACCGGAAGTACTCGGAAAACGCGTATTTTTGCCGTTCTTGACAAGTTTTTTGGTTATACATGTCTCTGGGAGCATTAAAATTAATTTTCCGTCCGTCGTCGTCACTTCCGGTCAAACCGGAAGTAACAGAAAATGGCTTATTTTTGCAATAATTAACATGGATTTAGAGGAATCAAACCATTTTTGGACGTTATTTCACATTTTTGTTAAAAATGAAAGCCACTTCCGGTCAAACATGACGGAAGACCTACTCGTTGCTTTGCAACGAGCTTTGCTCTAGTTGAAGTTTATTATTCTCACCCATAAACGAGCAGGTGAAGAGTCAATTTCCATGTTTGTACTGAATACTTCAGGGTTGTCTCTTACTAGTTAAGGTCTTCCGTCTTTAGTGGAAGACCTTACTGTTATTCTTAGGTTTCTTTTCCACTATTTTTATTATTGTTTGTTTTTTCCTACCGATTTTGTGCACGCGATTTCTCGAAAACGACTCAATCGATTTTCATGAAAGTTTCAGGTCAGGTAGAGAATTAAAAATACTAGACATCTATTTTTTTGTTTTGGTGACGTCACTTCCGGTTTTGAGATTTCCGCGTTTTAATGATTTTCAGAGGGTCAGTTTGTCCGGCAGTTTTCTCAAAAAGCACTTAACACAGAAGCATGACATTTTCAGTGATGCTAGAGCAACCTTTGGAGAAGTGTATTTGGTATATCACAACCACCGGAAGTACGAAGTGCCGACGCTCGCTATGACCCGAAAATAGCCCTATCGTGAATTTCAAAATTTCTAACACCTTTTCTTTGCTAACTTCTTACCTAGAAATATCTTGATAATACATATAGAACAAAATAAGTGTAGAATTACAAGTTCTTTCAAATGGTGAAAAAAGGGCTGGCCCCTAAAATTAGGGATCTAGAGGGGCCAGAAGTTTTTTCCTGATATCTTTAAAAGTATTGAAAATTATAATACATTAAAGGAGCAAAGTTGTTTAAAATGTCAAGCCTAATCTATTGGGTTCGTCAAAAAATGTCCGTTGACGTCATTTCCGCTCAAACCGGAAGTACTCAGAAAATGCGTATTTTTGCAGTTTTCTGACACGTTTTTGGGTAACATCTGTCACTGGAAGCATAAAACTTAATTTTCCGTCCGTCATCGTAACTTCCGATCAAACCGGAAGTAGCAAAAATGGCTTATTTTTGCATTAATTAACATAAATTTGGAGGCTTTAAACCATTTTGGTCGTCTTTGTTTTTTCTTTTTAAATGAAAGGTACTTCCGGTCAAACAGGACGGAAGACCTACTCGTTGCTTTGCAACGAGCTTTGCTCTAGTTGAAGTTTATTATTCTCACCCATAAACGGGATGCCCATCTGTTCTCCTCCTGTTTCCTTGGTAAGTGTGTAACGGGAATCCCGGCAATAATAAGTTGAAGAATTATTCAAATAGTGTCAAGAATTATGCAAGAAAATCATTATGCAATAGTCCCCGATTTGACCTACTAAATTATTATCTAATATTTTACTTTACAATGTACAGTATTGACCTATAAACTGATTCAAGAGAAACACAAAATATTTATAATTACGTCTAAAAGTATACAACATAAATATTATTTATAATAAGGAATCTACAGATTCCTTAGACAAGCCTAGGATTATTATGCCCTATAAACACTTGCTTGTCTTATTTAATTAAAGCACAAATACTCGGCTGTAGATATCAAAGTAATTAAACACGGCTGTGGATATCAATTGTGTTACAACCTTTGAGGTAAAATTGGAATTTTTAAAGGATAAACGATTTGCATCTGTGTTTAACTTTCTAACACGATTTTTTGATATATTTATAAGCCTCAAACTGTCAAATCTTTAAGCGAATAAACCTAATCTTGGACCTGAAGCTTTTAATTATTTAAAGCAGCTAATATTTCGATGAGGAGTAAGGATGATGGCTTGTTAGAACATTCTCAGGCTCTTTAAGGACCCTCTCTACACCAGTGCAAAGTGTTTTGGTCATTGAAACAAGTATATTGTATAAAGGTGTTAATTATCTATTTGATTTTCATTATATGGTACGAGGCATTTAGCCCCTTGAAAAATAATCAAACACAACACAGTATTCGTGAATATAAATCACTGTTGTTTGCTTACATAGAGAAAATGCATTTTAATAATGTGTTCAGTTAGTGGATCTTGGCCTTTTAAAATGTTTTCCATATTGCGTATTTGCGTTTCCTCTTTAATATTGTGACACCTTGTATAACAACCATTTAAAAAAAACAAAGTAAACTTATTTCTGAGAAAAGAAAATAACCTTGATACAGGCAGGAACCATTCTAAGATTGCTGCTGAAAAACATAAACATCCAAAACGTTTTATTTTAAGGCAAAGAATTTCAAAAAAAGAATGTTTAAGGTGAGATATGTAATTATAGAAAACTGCCCGTTTCGTTACATATTATGGCATGCTATTGTTCTTACGTGTACTCCACTTATAAACTTCTAAACCAGGAAAAGTATTACGTTGATTGTTGTTTTAATAATAGAAAAAAAGCACAGTACTGTTGAACATTTCGAAATACCTGAAACCCGGCCCGTTGCACAGTTTAATTCTTCTGAAAAGCAATCTTCAACCTATGTTCAATTGCTAAAAGACAAAAATACGCAAAAAAAATTGTCACTCAGAATGTTTAATGAAACAATACGAAACAAAAATAACAAAAGCGATAAATATAAAACATAACGTTAAACCTCTGCACAATAAAATTTTGAGCAAGAGAGTCACTTACATCTTCACAATTTACAGCAATAAAGATGACGGAATTCAACATTTTTATCATCTAAATGGCTATCATACTAAAGTGTATTTTTCCTTCAAAGGTAGGAAAGTGTATTTTCATTTCAACAATTTTAGATATTGTCCCTACGTTTTTTATCATTCATAGTTAATTATATACTTTTTGATACAAAAATGATGATACAATAACATGTTTTTTTCTTTAAGAAAAAAAACCCTGATAATAAAAAAAATTTAATTCAATGAATTCGGTTCATTTCGGGAAAAATTAATTTAAATTTTAAACATAGATCGATTAAAACAAAAATATTTTGACATGTCTTAAATGTATATCAGATTCTAATGACGAAATACCTTTCTGATAATATATAGATATAAGAGCCTCTATTACTTTTTAAAGGACAAATCTGTTTGATTTAATTGTCAACGTATTATAAAGAAAAGGATTGTTATTTGAAAGTAAAAAAACAAATAAATATCAAAGTACTCAGAAGTACAGAGAGCCGGGCTCATTTACAGAGTAGAATGAATTTCTTACATGAATCACGTTTATATTTTGATGAAAAAATTATATTCAAACTATCAACATAAATGATAAGACACTGACAGTGAGTTTTTCAATCCTAATACCACGGTCGATTTTGTCAGAATCAGAATTAATCTGGTACCGCAGCTGTATGTAAACAAACAGGTCAGTCTGGTTCCCTCTCCTGCTTTACCTCGTATGTGTAGAGAACTACGATAACACTGGTTATCAAAAATCCTTACGCTAATGAACTATGTTCTTTGACTTAGGACTGAAGTTTTCAAAGTCATTACTACTAATGTTTATTTATATAGATTAAACTTCGTTTTATTTCTGTTGCTTTCTTTAGCGTTTGTATTATCTCAAAAGCGGTTGAGAGTAAGAACTATATTTTTGCACGTAACTTTAAAATGGCGACTATGGGGTCAACTTCCTGCCTTGAACAGGATGACATAAGCCGGCAATTGCTCTTTGAGCAATAATCCCGGCTAAAAATGAAAGAACAGAATATCACATGTCAAAGCCAGACTTTTGTACAATAAAAATGATATTGACGAAGTCTGTCGTCGTTCTATAGACAACACCGGTATATGATTACATTTTGGAATTGCTATCCCGGGCAGATGAGGGTGGTTCGCTGGGGTGGAATGCCGGAGGGGGTTGATACTGCGGGGGTTGGGGAGGGTAGGCAGGGGGCGGGGGTGGGGGAGCGGATGGATGCCCTCCGTAGTTGATTGTCGATGTTGTCACATAAGGTCCGGCTCCATATCCGCCATAAGGGTTGTGATCTGCAGAAAAATGAAATTTATTTTCAGTTTTCAGTCGAAATCAAGGAAATCTCTAAAAATTACTTTCTTTTGCATGCCCTCTCCCGACTGAGGATAAGAATGTGAAGCTATAGCCAGAACGGACATTTTTTTTCTAAATAAAAAAATACCTTCAAGTGTGAAGTTAAAATAGTTATTATTGAATATAAAAAATAATTGTTTTCTGGATGTTAAAAAAGTTTTGAATTGGTCCATTTTGAGTCGGTTGGTACATGTAGATTAAGGGCAAACAAACATTTTTTCTTAAAGATGACCCACTTATAATGCTTCATTTAAATAGATAATCAATTGAATAGACTTCTAGTTATATAATTGAAGCAAAGCATCTCTCCTCTGCATAAGGGGAAAAAATAAGCAAGATTTACTCACATGCATTTGTCTAACTTGCCGAATAACCTGTTGGTTGTACGTTGACTTGCCCGTGGTTTTTCTTTTTACAACAGTGTACAACAACGCATGTTATGATCGTGACGATGATCACCATTCCAACGACTCCCCCAATTACAGCCCCGGCAATTACACCACCACTACCAGAAAAATAGGACACGGTATGGTAAAGTAAGTAAGTAAATATTTTATTATAGTGACATATGTATAGACAACAAGTAAATACAATTTATAAACGTATATACATCACGCCCGGCCCATTGGACCTATATGTCACTTTAAAATATGTACAGGATTACTACAATCATTTAAAGATAGCGTGCAAGATGGACATTATATTAATTTGATTGATATAAATGTTTTGTCTTAGTGAAAAACATAAATTTAAAAACTTGGCAGTTTGTCTCTGATGATTTTTCATTAAAGTGTTTACATTTTCAACTGGAGCTACATTTCTATTTAAATGAACATTATGAAAGAAAGTTTCTCTGATATTTTCATAGATTTTACAATGAAGTAAAAAATGTTTTTCATCCTCTACTGATTCGTCATTACATAGAACACAGTAACGTTCTTGTGGCGGTATAAGTGACTTGGATTTTGATTTAATTTATTTTAAACACGGAGTTCAAAAAATGTGTATCATGTAAAAGGAGAAACTTTATTTCATGATAAATTCTATTAATATATACACTTACCTGGAACCAACGGTGTAGTCATAGTAATAATAGTAACAGTAATATCGGAGCGAGTAACTGCTGTATGTGCAGTAAGACGCTGCACTGATTAGACAAGGAACTGAAAATAAAATGTACCTTTATTATCACACTCTGGAAGATGGGTTTATTTTTCCATTTTTTTTTTATGTATAGTGGAAATATTGCTTGAAAGTTGCTACGACTATAAATGAAAATAATAAATTTCTGATAAAACAACAAAATTCATTGGATTAGGTAATAATGTTTGCTACTAAATGCAATCAATCGTTAGGTCGAATGACGTTTTTCATACGAACTGTAGAGCTAATACTTTCGAATTCATACAGCATTTCCTTTGTTTTTTTTCCCGTTTGTCCGATCATGAAGGAGTACACTGCTATTATGACCGCTCAACAATCTAATTAAAATCAGACTTCTTAGATCCACGCCTTATTCACTCTACGGATCTGAGAAGTCTTATTTTATAATTAGATTGAACCGCTCAACATGGATTAATCATCCAAGTCACCTGATCCCATTTATGATATTTTAGTGGTCTGCGCATGCTCTGCCTCCAATCTGTATTGTACCAGTAGTTTTTATCGGCTGATTTATCATTACTATTTATAATCTTTACAGTCGTTTATTTATCGCTGTTTTGGACAGTAACAGGAGCATTTTTTTTTTCAAATCCAATTTCCAAATATAAACATAGATTGATATTTGAAGGCAGTGTTGAATATTTACAAATGTAACAAACGGGTCTTGACTTCTTTGTTTTAAAAGTTAAAAGAGTGTTTAACTTCAATGGTCTCAATTTCAGACCAAAGCTAGAGAGCTATTAACAACAGATCTGTGGTCGTATTTATGTAGAGGTAGATAGAGTGTATTTATATAGAGAGGGGGTAGAATTTTTCGATATTTGGGTAATTTAGCGACTTATTGATAAAAATTCAGGTGCCTGTGCTACATGTACCAATGACAACATATACGTATGGAGGAAAGTTGAAATCTTGAACTTTATTGAAATAAATAATAATTGACTTGCACTATTTACAGTACTCGTTTTGATTTATATATTTGTCTTTATTGTTTTAAATATAAGCTCGAAAAGTTTAAGGCTTAATTCTGAATTTTAGATGAAATGTTCAACGTTGCTTTGTGTTTTGAGTCTTGGGTATTTAAGAAAGATAACTCTTGCATGTGAACTTTTAATACCGAATATTTTTTAAATTAGAATTTTCATTTCGTTAGAACATTCTTCATTCAATTTAACACAAGTTATTCATTGAAATACATTCCTTGTCTCTTTATACATCATTTTCCAAATTATTCCTGCACAGATAAAGAAAAAAATAACATTTTTTTTTGAGAATTTTTCATTCTAATAAAATATTTTAATATTCGTAAGTATAATAATTTTGTGTACATTTCAAAAGAAGATGTCTATCACCTGACACTGAAATTTCTGTAATTCTGTAAATAATGAACTTGAAATAAAATATTTTACTTATAGTTTACTTACATAGAAAAGTTTCTTAAAAAATCACTAAAAGATATTCATGATACCATTATTTGGATATTTTACATCTACATTATAAGTGGTGCTGTAATGAAATCTAGAATACACTGTGGGTGTAATGAGCCTCCTTAAAATTGATCATGAAAAATTATATATATTTTTTAAATTGTTTTGGAATCAGGTCATATTCAGAGTGTGATTATTGAGAAATCTTAAATGTACCAAAAATAAATCAGAAGTAGTTTTTTTCTTAAAGTGTATTCGCTATCTCAAGTTCTGTAGTATTGAATAACGATGTTGGCCTTTAAACGTCAATAATTGAACAAGAACAATGCCAGTACATTTCAATGATATTCATCGGTGCGTATACTCGGGATATTAATATGTTAACTTCTTTTCCTCTTTGTGGATATCAAAAATACGCAAATTAACAGTATAGTAAGAATTAATATATTTGTAATTGACAAACTGACATCTGACATTAAACAAATCAATTTAATTTTTACAAAGATTATCCACAACAATAGAACTGAAGAGATTTGTTTATCATTATGAACTAAAATTATTTACCTCACAATTTAATGAATATATACTCTAAACGAATTACATTTGGTTGTGTATTCTTTTTAGCGCTTTTGGCGGAAAGAAACATCCGTTAATTCAAGTATAACACCAACTTTCTTGCATATATTTATACGAGGGCTGTTCGGGAATTATTGAGACAATTACGTTTACTCCATTAAGGACGGAGATAATTTAATGAAAATTCATCAACATTTTATAAAGAGCGAATAAAACACTTATGCAAAATTTCGAATTCCTATGACGATAAGAAAAGTTTTAGTGAAATGATAAACATGCATATGCCTATCGACCCGGAGCAGCATCTCTACGTCATTTAACATCACGTCAGCTGGAAAGGGTTTCGCATGTAAAATGATCGGGAAGCGTTTAATATTTTTCCTTCTTTGTAATTACATATAACAGTACAAAAATCAAACAGTCTCTTTTCTTAAATTATTCCTTAAATATGTATGCTTTTGCTACGCGAGTGTAATAATTTCATTCGTGGGAAAAGATGACTTAAAATCATGCAGTGCCGATTTATTCAACGCGGGTCAACGATATTAATACCGTAACGATATTAATACCGTACATAATAACTGATGGTCGCCCAGAGCTTTTGATTTTACTCTGGTTGAATTAATTGGGAAAAAAATGTATACCAATGAAATAACAAACCCTTACTAATTTTTTTCTCGTTGTTATTGTTTTAGCAGGTCGTTGAGTCTGGAACAGAGTTTTACATTGCGCTACACAAAATTTTAGGTATCTTCGCTGCTCCGCCCTTGACTTCAAAATCCATTTTTTCGTTCTTAGCAGATTTCTCTACCGCGCTTTTTTTTTATGATCTCCGTATTCCTGATCAAAATTCTGACAAAGTTGTACAACATGAATTTGAATTAAAGCTGAAAAAATTATACACATAAACAGAATTATTTTCGCTCTTATTATGGGTTCACGAAGAATTAGAACGTTGGTGTTACATATTTTCAATATCTGATTTCGAAACTGCTCCGGGTACCCCTACTGATGACGCATTATATACCATTGTACAGAAAATATTAAATATTTGTGAAATATTTTTTGCTTTTATTAATTCTAAGTGTATGTCTAACTTATATGCAAATTTTCACCGAAAGTTGTTCATTAGAAAGCAAAATATATACAATGTCTCAGTAATTTTCGAACAGCCCTCGTACATGATAGAGAACATTAGGAACTTCGCTAATTTATATCGAAGCTAACGTGTTCAAAAGTCAATTTCCGCCAAATATCGCACACGCTCGATATACTAGTAATACATTTACAGTATACAGTATATAAAAATAGGAAATAGTGTTGAACTCACAAAGACAAAAAACGAAAGAACACAAGGTGATCAAAATGGAAGCCAGGCTTTTGAATATAATCCACCCGAGAGAACCACCAAAGATATTCCTGAGTCTTATTCTCGTGAATTATTCTATCACACGGCAATTTAAACGCAAGTCCATTTCAAAAATTTTAACCATAAGACTTTTTTGGCACCGATACATATTGATTATCTGATATGCGGAATGCGTGCAGACTGGACTAATTCTAAAGTTAGTATTGCCTGTCTTTTTTCTTATCACAAAGAATGTTTGGTGTATCATCTTATCTTATCATGAATGATTAAAACTGATATCTTTAAGGCCCATGTTCGTATCATATGTACACATAAAAAGATAGAACGCAAAACTTCTATCTTTTTTAGCACAATACTAATGCTTCATAAATTGTAAATTGAATAAACAGAAAGGTTGCTTTATGTATGTCATGTAAATTTGTTGCATTTAAATATAAAAAGGCTGTTATTTTCTCACTTTGTGCTTTTGTACGACTCTAGTTAGTGTATTTATTAAGGGGGGCTATATTGAAATAGTAATTTTTAAGTATTCTACCTTTACAATTTGTTTTAAAGATTAAGTAATAGATATTTCAATTTATCAATAATGTTAACGATGATACACAGTAACGTATTTTTACCAGTTGAAATCCTTTTGTTTAGAGCAAAGTTTAGAAATGATTTTGTCTTTATTATTTAAATAAATTCCTTAAGTTCTCACTCATTAAAAACATTAGCGGTTATGTCAAGTTAAAATGGCCGATACACTGAGTACATTTTGATACATAGAATCGTGTTTCCGTTTGCTGTGTGATCTAAATACATGAAATTGCTAGACATGTTGCATAACTCTGCAAACTGTATTGCAAGTTGTTGCAATAAATTTAATCCAGTAAATTTAATGCGATGCTTCATTGTCATTAGTTGTATAAAATCTACATGAGCTGCAATTTCGATGTCGGAAATACTGTATTGAACAATATTCATGACAAAAAAGAACGTTTATAATTTCTGCTGTTCATATTTGCGATAGAAGAACCATTCATAAGCTTTGATTTAAGCAAAATTACATTATAATCGCGTCCTGTACAATATTGATCTCTCATTATAAAGCTAATAAATAGTCAATAATAATAATAATGATAACAATGATAAACTACTAAAAATTTAGGGAATTTTAGCGTTCAATATCTTGGCTTGTTATTGAACGCTGAGTTTGTATTAAGTATATGAGTATGCCCGAAACATTCCGAATAAGAGCGTTCACTATCGAACGCCCCGTTGTAAACAAAAAATGTCGTCTGGTCAACACTTCAAAGGAAAGTTTATAATACGTGGTAGCAGCTTGGAAAAAAGTGTTTATTTTCACACAAAATTGAAATTATTTATTAAATAACTTAATACGTTTTGGTCTCAATTAAACCTTAATAAGCAAATCATAACTCTTGGTAATGGTAGGGTAGTTGAAATAATGCGATATTGAACACTTACAGGACAGATGACTTATTATACCCTCCGCTTGAAAAGTGGAAGGGTATATAGTAATCGTTAATTCCGTCCGTCCGTACGTCCGTCCGTCCGTTCAGCCGTCTGTCCGTCCGTCCGTCTGTTACGCTTTGGGGTACCCATCTCTTATCCGCAACTCCTCTCGTACCACTGAATGAAATTTGATGAAACTTTCACAGAATCTTCATTACATATTGCCATTGTGCACCTCCTATTTTACTTTTTGATCCGACAGATATTTTGGGTTTCCCTTGAACAGCAAAACATGGACTTTGCCATTATAACTATATGGAGGCGGGGGGTTTCATTTAGTGAGCTCATCGCTCACAGTACCTCTAGTTCAAATAGTGGTAATAAATAAGTTCTTATTAATTTGAGTTATTTTATTGAAGTTATTATTTTAAATAAACGGGAGATGTTTTAGCTATATATTTAAGGAGTTATTGAACTAGAGGTACTGTGAGCAATGAGCTCACTAAATGATACCCCCCCACCTTCCATATAAATATAATGGCAGTTTCCATGTTTTGCTCTGGAAAATCCAAGATATATGTCAGACCAAAAAGTAAAATAGGAGGTGCATATTGGCAATATGTAATAAAGATTCTTTCAAAGTTTCATTAAATTTCCTTCAGTGGTATGAGGGGAGTTGCGGATAAGAGATGGGTACCCCAAAGAGGACAGACGGACGGACGGACATACCGATTACTATATACCCTCCCGCTTTTCAAGCAGGGGGTATGATAAAAGATCAAATTAATAAGATATTTATCTTAACAGAGCAGCATATTTTAGCAACAAAATAAAATTCTCAAAAAAGCAGCTCATATTGCTTTAAACTTAGCTAAACCATTCTTATGCTTACCAACAATCAGAGGCGAGATATTGTAAACCAACTTTTATTTACGGCGACTTTATTTCGCGAAATTATGATGATGAACTAGTTTGTGACGACTAATTTTCGCTATAAAGCTGTCATTAAAAGACACAGAGACTTTAGGGATCAGTTCGCGGGAAATAAAAGTTGGTTTACAGTATAATTATATCAAAAAGAGATAAAGAAGAACCATAATCAAGAATTTAAAACTGAAAATCCCCAGTGTAGTGTCTGAAACCCTACAAATCTAGAATCTTTTTACCTATGGAATCGCCAAGGCTTCTGTTTTACCAAATCATGATGAAAAGAAAAGCAAATTAGAAAATTTATTATTGCTAACAATAGTGCTCCTCTCCTAGAGCTGAAATGCTATATCGGAGTTGGATGCAGAAAAGAGAATGCTATTACATTACCTCACCAAATTTCAAAAATTTTGGAAACGACCAATTTGTTTCCATGCCATCCATCTGGAAAATCAAAAGCCAAAGAATTTGAAGAAGAATTTATTTAAAATCAATGTCTACTTTAGGAACATTTTAAAGTTTCGAGTGAGTTATTGGTGTGTGAATCACACAGACTTGTCACGTAGGCATACATGTATTTCATGAAGCGCTAGTACAGTTGAACATTTCAAAATACCTGAAACCCGTTAAACATTTTAATTTTTCAGAAATTGCTAGAAAGACACAAATGCATATTTTTCCCGACAATGAGAGAATGCTGTATTTTATTTTTGTTTGTGATTTAAATTGGTATTAAGAGATGTTTCTTTATTAGCAGAATCAAGGAAACCGTTTGATTGAGAATAAATAGGGATAATACACGAAAGTTTTTGTCACTCAGAATGTTTAATGAAACAATATAAAACAGAAATAACAAAAACAATCAACATAGAACACAACGTGAAACCTCTGCACAAATAAAGTTTTGAGCAAGAGAGTCACTTAAATCTTCACAATTTACATCAATAACGATCACGGAGTGCAACTTTTTTTTTTATCTAAATGGCTATCATAAAAAATTGTATTTTTCCTCCTGAAGTAGGAAAGTGTATTTTAATTTCAACAATTTCAGATATTTTCCCCACATTTTTAGCATTTGGTACATATATAAATTCATAATTAATTATATACTTTTTGAAACAAAGATAATGATACAATAACATGTATTTTCTGTAAAAAAAATCGCTTGATAAGAAAGCTATTCATTTTTTTTCAAATTCAATGAATTCGATTCATTTCGGGAAATTTTAATTTAAGGAGTCTGGGGGTCAACAAATTAACCACCTGATTTAGCTTATTTTTTTTAAATATGGTATCTTAAACTGACTAAGTTGGCAAAGAAAAAATTCATACATCTTAGTTTTAAAATTTGATCAGTTTTGTATTTATTTAAATGGAGCTCTTCTTCTAAAGGAGATCGAAATAGTCTGAAAATGGCTGTAACCCCCAGCCCCTTTAAAGTTAAAACATAGATAGATTAAAACAAAAATATTTTGACATGTCTTAAATGTATATCAGAATCTAATGAAGAAATACCTTTCTCATTATATATAGATA